AAATCCTTATAGGATTACTCAGATTATCTACTTCATGTTGGGTGAGATGTGGTACTTGGTGCTTTTCAAAGAGTTGGTCATTTTTTCTGTTTTCAAATGTATGTGAATTTATATGTAAAGCTGTTCATAGTAGTCTCTTCTTATCCATTTGTTATCTGCAGTGTCTGTGGTGATATTCTCTGTTTTGTTTCTGGTATTGGTAATTTGCATTTTCTATATTTTTTCTGTGTTAGTCTAGCTAGAGGTTTGTGAATTTTATTGATCTTTTCAAAAGCCAATTCTGTGCTCAACTGATTTTCTCTATTGTTTTTCTGTTTCTAATTCCGCTCTTATCTTTATTTTCTCCCTTCTGCTTGCCTTGGGCTTGTTTTGGTCTTATTTTTCTAGGTTTTTGAGGTGAAAGCTTAGATTATAATTTGAGACTTTTATCTCTTTTTAAATATATGCATTTAGTGTTATAAATGGGGCATTGTCTGTGCCTCATAAATGATATGCTCTATTTTTATTTTCACTCAGTTCAATGAATTTTTAATTTCCCTTAAGACTTCTGTGACTCATGGATTGTTCAGAAGTGTGTTTTTTAGTTTCCAAATGTTTGGAGATTCTCCTGGAAACTTTTTGTTACTGATTTCTAGTGTGATTTCATTGTGATTAGAGATCATACTCCATAATTTTGATTCTTTTATATTTGTTGAGGCTTATGTTATGGTCAAGTATATAGTCTATCTTGGTATATACTCTATGTGCACTTGGAAAGAATGTATTCTGTTGTTCAGTAGAACACTTTATAAATATTGATTATAGCCTACTGGTTGATGGTGTTGTTGAGTTCTTTTGTATCCTTGCTGATTATCTGTTGTTCTATCACTTGTTGAGAGGGAGATGTTAAAGTCTCCAACTATAATTATGGATTTATCTATTTCTCTTTTTAGTTCTACTAATTTTTGCTCCATTTACAGTTCTGTTTTTTGGTGCATACAACATTTACGATTTCTACATCTTCTTGATGAATTGACACTTTAATCATTATACAATGTCTACTGTCTCTGATAACTTTTTTGCTCTGAAGTTTACTTTAATATATTAACACATTCACTCCTGCTTTCCATTGAGTAACATTTGTTTGATATATATATTTTCATCCTGTTACTTTCAACTTGCCTATATTGTTCAAGGTACTTATTTGAAGTGAGTTTCTTCTAGATAGCATATATTTCAGTCATGTTTTTAATCCAATCTGCTATTCCCTATCCTTTAACTAGTATATTTAGAACATTTATATTTAATGTAATTATTGATGTAATAGAGTTTAAGTCTCTTTTTTTTTTCTTTTTGTTGTCTTTCATTTTTATTTGTTTTCTTTTTCCTAGTTTCCTGTGGGATTACTTATGTATTTTTTAGAATTCCATTTTTATTTATCTATAGTTTTTTGAGTATTTCTGCAATTTCTGTCATTGTTCTAAATATTACATTATATATGCTTAACTTATCAAAGTCTACTGATGTTATCATTTTATCAGTTCAAGTGAAGTATAGAAACCTTACTTAACTTCATGTCCCTTTATCCTCCCTTTTTTATAATATAATTGTTTAACTACTTTCTACATACATTTATAATTATATCAGAGAGTTTTTATAATGTTTTTCTTCTGCTGTCAAACATAATTGAGAAAACTCAAGGGAGAAAGGAAGCTTATTCTATCTACCTACATTTTTTTCTTATTGTTATCTTTCTTTGTTCTTTATGTTCTAAGGGTCCTTATTTTATTGTTTACCTTCCATTTAAAGAACTTCATTTAGTTATTTGCTATGGTCTGAATGTTTGTGTCTTCTCAGAATTCATATATTGAAATCCTAATGCCCATGACAGTATTAGGAGATGGAGCCTTTGGGAGGTAATTAGATCGAGGGTGGGGTCCTCATGAATGATATGAATTCCCTTATAAAAGAAGCTCATATGTCCCTTTTAGAATGTGAGAACACAGTAAGAAGTCAGCAGTCTGCAATTCAGAAGAATGACTTCAACTGAACCAACTATGCTGGCACCCAGATCCCAGGCTTCCAGACTCCAGACAAATGAGAAATATATTTGCTGTTTATAAGCAACCAGTCTTTGGTATTTTGTTATAACAACATGAACCATTCTTTTAGGGTAGATCTCCAGGCAACAAATCTTCTATCTTTCCTTCATCTGAAGATATCTCTACTTTCCCTTTATATCTAAAGAATATTTTCACTGGGTATCAGATTCTAGGTTGACATTTCTTTTCTTTCAGCATTTTTGTGCCACTTCCTTCTGGTCTTCATGGTTTCTGATGAGAAATCCACTGTCATTCTCATTTTTTTCTCCCTATAGGTAAGTTGTCATTTTTCTCTGGCTACTTTCAAGATTTTTCCTTTATATTTAGCTTTTAGAAGTTTATAATATCTCTTATTGTAGAGCTCTATAGCTTTACCTTTTATAGAATACTGTTAGCTTCTTGAATCCATAGGTTTATGTCTCTTGCCAAATTTGGGAAGATCTAGGCCATCATCTCTTTGAGTACTTTTCCAGGCCCACACTCCTTCTCCTCTCCTTCTGGGGTTTCAAAGACAAAAAATGCTATTTCTTTTGCTCTGGTCCCACTAATCCCTAAGACTTTGTTTATTATTATTATTATTTTAGTCCATTTTTTCCTCTGTTGTTCTCATTGGGTAATGTCATTTTTCTTTCTCTCAGTTCATTGATTCCTTCCTTTCTCCCCTCCATTCTGCTATTGACTCCATCCACTGAACATTTTATTTGGGGTATTTTATTTTTCATTTCTAAAGTTTCCATTTGGTTCTTTACAAGTTTTATTCCTCTGCCATGACTTTCTATTTCCTTGCTAAAATTTTCTATTTTTTAAAAATTTGTTTCCAGAAACTTTGTAATTGCTCTTTGAAGCATTTTCATCATGGCTGCTTTAAAATCTTTGTCATATAATTTTAATATCTCACATTAGTATCTTTCTTTTTTCACTCAGTTTGAGATCTTCCTGATTCTTGGTATGACAAATGATTTTTTTTTATTTGAGCCTGTACATTTTCATATTATGTTCTAAGACTCTTGCTCTTGTTAAAGCCCTCTGTTTTATGTATCCTAGTATGATGCTGCTTCAGCAGGAGGAGGAGAGTTCCACCTCTTCACTGCAAGGTGGAAGTAGATAGGAGTTCAGGTTCCCCACCTGATCCTCACTGAAACTTGAGGGGGCCCACTTAGTTACTGCTAGGAGTAGGTAGGAGTTCAGAATTCCTACCTGGTTTCCACCAGCATTGCAAGGACGGAGGGTTGTTACTATATGACAGGGATGAAAGTTCAGCTTCCTCCTTGGCCTCTCTGATACCACCCTTGTAGGGGCATTGGGGCACCTCATTATAGCCTTGCAAGGGCAAAATTCTGGGCTTCCCACCTGCACTTTGTTGATATGGGTGAAGCCAAAGTTTTTGCTGTGATAATTTGGCTGAAATAGAGTCACTATCGTCTTAAAGTTTTCTGTCTTTCTAGGCTGCTCTTTCCCTGGTCTCAGCTAGTGAAAACAATCTTATTGTAAGTTTTTGGTTCTATCCATTGATGTTTCTGGGTTGCTAGCATGTTCAGCTCCAAGTCTGGGATATATGGGGGTAAAAAATCCCAGAGAACTCACCACCATGTTGTTCTTGGGTCCTGAGGTCCCAAGCTGGTCTGTCTTCTTCTCTGCAACTTTCAGAGTGTTTTTGTTTATTTTCTACATAATTTCCAGGATTTTTAGTTTTACTTAATAGAGATACAGGGAAAAGTAGATTTATTCTATCTTCCCAGAAGCAGAAGTTTTATTATCATTTTTATAATTAGTAGAGCGTCTCTCCATGTAACATCAAAATGTAAAAACAAGTTGATTTCTTTTCCAAAGTAAAATGGGGAAAATATTTATAAATAATTTTATTGTTTTATCCCTAAACACCTCCAAAAGCCTAATTATTAGGGTTAACTTGTCACTTCATCAAAAAATGTCCCAATCAACAGACTAATTATTTATTTTACAAATGGCCCAATTTTTCTTCCTGTGCATTTCACAGCAGTCCATAGTGGTAAAAGAACTCTGTGGGTTACACAGAAAAATATTTCTGATTAAAAGAGCAAGAGGAGGAATTTTATTTCTTTTGGATTTTAGAAAAGTCCTTCAGTACTAGATATAGAAAATAATAGTTGTTTACTGAACATCTCCTATATTTAAGGTATGGGGGCACAAAACAACTAAAATGAAGAAAATGTAAACCATAAAATATGTAAAATGGAATCAAGTTACTGTGATTTAGTGCTTTGGAAATACAGAAAAGGCATGAATAATTATGAATATCAGAGATTTCAGAGAAGGGATTGATGAAATAGAACTTAATCTGGAATGAGAAAAATTTGTTCATTCAATACTTATCACCTACCTACTTTATGTTAGGCCCCTTGGTGCCTGATGCAGAATGAATAGTATTCTGACAGAGACAGAGAAATGGGTGACACGGGCTGAATGGCAGGCATTCTTGTAATAGAGACAGCTCAAACTGATACATAAAAATGTGAGGGAGTCAAACAGAGCTTTTGAAGAGAACTATGAACAGTGCTGTTTGAAAACTCACTAAATAAGGAAAGACTAAACTAAGTGTTATTAGCTAACTTTCATTTACTCTTTCTATGTGCCAAATACAATACTAGGTGTTTGATATGAAACATTTTATTTAATCCTCATATTAACCCTATGCAGTATTATTATTATTTGCCCCACTTTAGAGATAAGGAATTTGAGGTTAAGAAAAAATAAGCAACATGTCTATAATCATATAGTTAGAAAGTAACAGAGTCAGTATTCAACCCAAGGCAGCCTTGGTAAAGAGCCTATATCTTAGTCACCATACTAGCATATAGCAGGCAATAAATAATGGAATTTAACAGAGCATTTAAAAATGCTTACCTTGGGGTTTTTATGCACATGAATATTGTTTTACAGATGTGGATGGCATGGATCTAGGCAAAAAGGTCAGCATTCCCAGAGACATCATGTTGGAAGAATTATCCCATCTCAGTAACCGTGGTGCCAGACTATTTAAGATGCGACAAAGAAGATCTGATAAATACACATTTGAAAATCTCCAGTATGAATCTAAAGCACAAATAAATGTAGGTATACCTTGATCATATGGTATCTAAATAAATGGGCAGCATTTCTAAATTTAAATGTATTACTAGGTTCCTAAATAAGTCTACACATTTTCTTTCCATTGATCCTGCTAGACTTTTTTTTTCATGAAAGTAATAAATAGGTGGATAAACAAAAGAAATATTATGCATGATATGAGTATCTTTTTAGTTCAATAGAGACATTTTACTGAACAACTGGTCTGTTCTGCTAAGAGGAGGGAGAGGGAGTGAAGATTTGTGGTACTAAAAGTTTCCATGGCCTTATCACCACTAGTTAAATGTTTGGGATGGAAACACTTCCAAAGCACACAGTGCTCCATAAAGTAAGTATAAGCATTTTATTGGCTGTTATTCTGGCACTGAAATGTGCCTGGGAACTACAGACACAGTTGGTCTCCTCTCAAAGCATTAATTCCATATTTGTGTAGGGAAGTCTGGTACGTATTAACAACAAAACCAATGTGAAGAAAACTCTTTGGACAAAAGTTTTCCTCAACCAAAAGTTTAAAAACAAATTAATTAATTAAATTACAGTTTACATATTGCATTAATACTATGTTCTTTTAAACTATCATTTAGAGAGATTTTAGAGGAAGAAGTTCATAGTAGAAAAACAACCAGCTCTGGGAAAATGGCCTTAAAAATAAAATACCAGCCATAAAGAATCAAAAAGGAATAGTGCATTGGTTTTAAATTTGAAGAGATGGTGAAGACTACAACAAATACAAGTTTTATATCCTGAGGGTTACTTCCTATAGCTATGAAAAGTCTGTAAGTTTACGTATGAATTTAAACCTGAAATGTAGCCAGCTGCCATCATTAGAACATTGTTTTGAATGCACAGCTAAATACTTTACAGCAAACAGACTAGTTTCACTGATCTTTTATCATATTACTAAAACATATTACAGAAGTAACATCCATACCCACAAACACTAAAATGTTATTCATTCCTGAAATTTCTATTTCCCTTGTTTTGATTCTGGTTAACAGTAAACGGTTGGAGGACATCTTAAATTAAACAGGTTTCTTTTTCACATTGCTGAGCACCTTTCAACATCCACAGATTGAATGTGGTTATAATTATGAATTCAGTTAGACATCAAGTTTTACTCAACTACAGTATATACATTTATGATTTTCACTTGCAGTCATGGATAAATACAATGTTATGTTATCCTATAATTATGCTTAGTATCCTCTTATCAGAAAATGTCCACAGATAATACAGTATGAGCCTGAAATAATCCTTACTTCATCTGAAAGAGTCTAACAATATAATCATATTCCATCAATAATAACAACAGAGAAGCAGCTTTAAGGAATAGCATAAAATAAGGTGGCTTAATGAAAATTCTTTGAAAAGTTACCTACAAGTTTAGGCATCTAAATACATGAATAAATCCAGTTTTCATAACTTATATTTATATATATTAATTTAACGAAAGCAATGGCAAAATAAAGTAGACTGAAACTCAGCTCTCAAAATTCCAGAGTTCTTGGCACTGACACTTGTCATGGTGTAATTAAAGGAAACTCTGGCCTAGGAACCAGAAGACCAGTGTTCAGTCCTGGCTCTCCAACAAGCTGTGCAAATTGGAGTCAATTTAAAAGTTTTTTTGCCCTTCTGAACCTGTTTTCTCATTTATGAAATAAGAGGTTGACTCAAATGTTTTCCAGTTTCTCAAATGCGACTTATAACTTTAAAGATCTATGTTCTCTGATCTTAATTCTAAAAATGACCTGTAAAATAAAGTAGGAGGAAGACAGTGAGCTACATCATATGATGACACCATTTGTTTTATCAAGGCATTAAACTGTAACTTGGAGCAAGCATTGTTAATATGATAGGAATTTAAAAAATAATATTAGGTTCAGGTTTATTTCCATTCATTTATTTATACTTTAGGCAAATATTTATTAAATACCTACTATGTTCTAGAAAATATGCTGGGACTTCAAAGATAGATACAGCCTTTGTCTAGTGATGGAGAGACAAAATAATACTGAAAGATAAAAAACTATTTGCTTATAATCTAGTTCTTGAATCATATTTATATGATTTATATCAAATTAATTTATTGACCTCATTTTCTGAAATGAGCTTTTACTTTTACTGCTTCCCTTGAGCTATAGATACTGTCAAAATAATTATTTAGTGTATATTTATGCATTTCTTATTTTATTATAATGTTAGGACCTCATTAGATGAAAATATAAACCAACTCCCTGGTAATCAATGCCATTTGTTTAAATATTAAGAATCATTTAAAAAAATAAGCACAGCTTTGAGCTTAATCTATTGCTGAGAA